CGCGCGAGTCGCGAGAGGTGCGATTCCACTTCTTCTCGCCTACGATGTCGCGCGTGGTAGGCACGCCCGACGAGTCAAGACCTTTGGCCTCCAGATCCGCACGTCGCTCCAGCGCGGCGCGAATCTCATCCGCGTGCTCGGGATGATCGTGCTTATCCCGTGTCCACTGCGCGAAGAGTTCAGCAGGCAGAGGCTTCTTGCCCTTGCGCTTCTCCTTGCGAGTGAGGAATCCGCCATCGACCTCGACAGCCTGCGTGCGGTCGAACGAGACCACTCGGTCGCTGCGAGATCCGCCTGCTGTCGAACCGCCCGACCCGGCAAATGGCGACGAAGCGCGACTCGTATCGCGCGACGACAGTACATGTCGCCCAATTGCAAGCTTCCCCTCCGGCGCACCCTGTCGAGTGCCTCCGCGACGCGACCCATTGCCAGCGCCATCGGCCGCCACGTGCATCGTCGCACTGCTGCCCACGCTGAACGTGAACTGCGACGAGGGCATCTGGAACCCGGCCAGCGGCGGCGCACCCGGCACCAGCTTGCCATACGGTCCTAGGCGCGATACAAACTCGGAGAATGCCGAGGGCTCGCCCGTACCGCGCGTCGGATTCACGCGCGGCTCGGGGCAGTCGTCGCCCCAGTGGTTGCCTGCGCCCGAGCAGTTGTAGCACCACCTCGTCGCCGGGTCGAATTCCTTCGCAGACAGCTCGGGCTCTCCGGCGCGTACGAACTCGTCTTCCGAGTCCGAAAGTTCGGAGCCATCGGGCTCGAGGTCCTTTCGTGGGTCGCGCCCGCCCGCGGTCGACTCCAGCTTGAAAAACGCCTTGGCCTGGAAGCGCTCGTGATCGTCCCGGGTGCTGTATGCGTACACGCGCCACAGCGTGGGACAGAGCGCCTTGACGTGCGAGTACGAGCCGCAGCGCTCGCACTCCTCGCTGCGCGGACCGCGCCTCGGTTTCGGACACGTGCGTGTCTGGTGGCCCATACCGCCGCAGCGGAAGCAGCTTGTGCTGAGCGGACAGAAGCGTGTCGGATGCTCGTCCATCGCTCCGCACGCCAGGCAGTGCTGGTGCGGACAGTGTCGGCGGTCATGTCCAAGCTCGCCGCACGCAAGGCACTGTTCTTTTGCCCGTCGTTCTGCCTTTTCTTCCGCGCCATAGTAGCGTGACGCTGTGGCGGGGTCCATGTCCAGCTGTTCAAAGTCGCCCAGATCGCCCTCGACGCCGCTGCCGTCCGCCGGCGCCTCTGCTGACCCTCCTACCTGCTCCAGACCATTGCTGAGAGAGGTGCTGGGATCAGCTTGCGGGATGACATTGACGTGCGAAGGAAGCAGCAGGCCCGCCTCGACATGCGTATCGGCGCCATCGGTCTTGGCGCCGTCTTCCAACGCGATCTCGCGGTCCACGTCCATGTCGCCTGCAGTGTCAAAGACGAAGCTCATCTCGCCTGCATCTCCCGCGTACTCTCCCTCTTCCATGTCGTCATCGTCGTCGTCGTCGCTGTGCTGTGTGCCGCTGACTGTGTGCTTTTCCTGGCTTCTGCCGGGGCTTGCGTCTCTGCTTGGCCCTGCTGAAGAGGCCGGTGTGGATGCACCGCCTTTGCCTCGCTTTTTAGCCCTCCGCGACGTTGATGTGGACGTCTTTGATGGGCCGCTCTGGGAGCTGCTGGCGTTGGAAGTGGCCTGCTCGACGGCCGACATGGCCGCGTCCTGCGCAGCCGCCATGACCGAATTTGCCGCCATGTCTGCTGTCAAAGCGGCGCCGAAAGTACGTGATCGATCCTAGGCCGTCGATACGATCAGTGCCGACGCACGATGGCTGTCCAGTCTGCGCGAGTTGAAATGAGAGACGTGACGCGATAGGTCGATGAATGCGATTGTGGTGGGGAAGGATGAGGGCCATGATGGGGCGCGAAGGAAAACGTCATCCTGCGAAAAAATGCCCGATTTTCCTAGCAGTGGCCGAAGACTGCATCGGCTGTTGTGATTTCTGCGCACATGGAGTTCCACCTCAAACTTTTTCTGACCGCCAAAAAATCAGAGTCTCGTTTGAAGCGCCAAGTGGAGGCTCTTTCCCGCGCAGGCACGGCTCAGGCGACTCGACGCACAGCACATCAGTCTCTCGCCCCGCTTTGGCCGCACACACGGTAGCCGGTCAAGCGCATTGTCTTTGGCCATCAGGTTCATTACTACGCGAATGTATCGTATAGGGAGACAGAAGGGAAAACAAAGCATGCAGATTGTTCGAGCGGTCTTTCTTGGAGCATTATTCGCCAGAGAAAAGTCGCTTGATCAGGTAGATGGTCGAGCCGGTCATCCTGAACAGCGCGAGACCGGCGACGGAATACAGCAAGAAGCCCATGTACACGGTCCTGGTGCTGATTGACGAGATGTTGAGAATGCCCACCACGAGCGCGGCGTTGCTGAGACTCCAGCACAGCACGACGTTGGTCCTGACCGTCGCATAGTAGTCCTTCTGCTTCTGGTCCTTGTCCACGGGCCCGGGCCCGGCCTTGGGCGGCTTGTTGCTGAGCACGTGGATGGCATCGTCGTAGGCATCGTTGATGTCCTTGGACTCGGTCGGGATCGCCACTTCGACCTGGTTGTTGCCCGCGCCGCCAACGACACCGAGATCGGTCATGACCTTGTCCGAGCCCTTGGTGCCCCACGAGATATCGTTGATGTTGGCAAAGGCATAGATGCTGATCACGTTGACAAACGTCGGCGCCATGAGCAGATACTGGACGATCGACGTGACCATATGCCATGGCTCGAGGAACATGATGCTCGCAATCGTCCAGATACCAAACGTCGCCGCAAGCGAGATGACAATGTTGACGAAGGTGCGGTTCGAAACGAGCGCTTCGGCTCCTCCGCCACCCGCGCCTGTGGCGTTGAGAATCGAGTCGACCGCCAGGTAGATCGCCGCACCCGTCATGTAGAGCGTGAGCAGCGCAAAGACGACCATGGCAAGCGTGTAGCCGAACTTGCTGCCCGCCGGTCGATTGCCCATGGAGAGCAGGAAGCAAAAGATGATAAAGGCGACGTAGATGTACGAGAGCACGAGGTTGGGAACATGCAGCGCCTTGATGCGGTCGCTCATGGCGCTCGTGAGGATGAAGAAGGCGATGAAGAAGTTGGCCATGCCGAACCACGAAAATACGAGCTGGATGGTCTGGTAGATGATCTCGATGTGGAGCGCAAACTTGCGCCCGAACGAGTGTGACGAGCGGTAGATGTAGCCAAACTTGATGATCGAGTGGATGCCCGCAAAGAAGGATCCGTTGAGCCAGCGACGACGCTGCGAGATGAGTTCGGGCACCTGGTCCGGCACGTCCGTCACCGCCTGCGCCGACTTGACGTAGTGCAGGATCCACGCGCTGTCGCGCTTGGACACGAGCTCCCAGCACAGGATACGGTCCTCGGCGAGGTACATGTTGGACGTAAACACGTCCGCGTCCGATTGGCCACCATGGAGCGTCTCGCCCTTGAAGTACGAGTGGAGCGGGCCCTGGCCCATAGCGTCGTTCTGCAAAGCAATGTATCGATACGCCGAGAAGGCACCGGGAAGCACGGTGATGTAGCCAAACACCGACTCAAGCGGCTTGTCGAGGATGTTGGACATCTTGTACTCGAAGTTCTGCGC